TTCATTTTCTTCAATAGTGTAGGGAGACAGTCTACTGTCACTTCTGATAATCTACTGTCTGATGTTCAGAATGGGCTGATAATCGATTATCACACTCTGATAATCGATTATCAAACTTCAGAGAGGGCTGACAGTCGATTATCACATTCTGATAATCGACTGTTGCTCAGCTTTGTTACAAAAATCTGCAGAACGATGAATAATCGATTTTCAAGTTGATAATCGATTATCCATCGTCTTCTACCTCGAGCCAACTTGCGGAAATGTCACTTTTACTCACCAAACTTCAATTAAAGTATATAAAAATGTTCTCCAAGGTTCATGGATCATTTTAGCATCATTAATTCATAATTTTTAACATCAATTTCATGGTTTATGATTCTTAGTTCTTCAAGCATGTCAAACACAAAACTCAACCAAATGACAATTTGTGAACGTAGAAACGACCTATATGAACATTCTAGTCATTAGATATATCTAGGGGCTTACTTTAATGTTAAACGATGATTCCGGTGAAAAGACGACGAAACTTCCGGCGACAAAAGCTCTCAACTCCGGCGACCTCTCTCTGAAATGGAAACACCAGCAAACTCTCCTTACTCAAGGCAGTAGAATATAGAGAATTTTGGGATGATTTGGTGAAGAATTGAGGAAATAAAGATTTCTTAAATAGAGGAAGGAAAGATAAGAAGACATGGATTAAATATTCCTGAGTCACCAAAATCGGATAGTGCGTCGTTTGTACAGTGAGCGCCGATTGGAGTGTAGTCCCTGATTGGGACTAATTTTTGGTCCCAATTGGGGTACACTTTCTGGTCCAACTTTCTCCAAATTGAAATCCGATTGAACCGTTGGGGTCAGACAGTCAAACTCTACATAATGATATGATTTTCATTATTTATTGACAAACTTTAGAATTTACTTATTTTTTTGGGTCCTTCTCAGTAATTAATTAATTATAAATTAATTAACTCTGATAGGCCTATTTTTGGGGTGTTACATGTCTAATTCATGCTCAAGTCATGTCGTCATTAGCGATGATGTGAGCCTTCATGCATACCTTCGTTTGAAGAGCACCTATCCGTCGCTGCGTGACTTCCCTTTGTGTGTTGAATTACGTCATTTTGCAGAAACGGGTGTTTCAAATGGAGGGTCAGTTCTTATTGAAGTTCCACAAATTTTACTTGGTTATCATTCTGAGTTAAACTCAAATGCCCAGGAAGAAACTGATTCGGATGCTTCGGTTCATGATGTTTAACATCATGAAACCATGCAAACTCTTTGTGAAGACAATATATCATCTCATTATGCGTTGTCTAAAGAGTATTTATTTGACACATATCATGGTGATGCGTCTTCAGTGCATAATGACCATAACGGGGACTTGGTTTGATGGAATTCTCTTGACTCCAACCCCCTGGTTATGTGATGTCCCAGCAAGATATTGACTCATTGAAGGAGATGCACATTACTTCTCGGTTTGATCCAACTAAGATAGTCGTTGATGCCATATATGCTAGCAAAATGGACCTCGATTTTCATTTGAAAATGCTAGCAATTTCCAACTATTCCAGTACCGGACTAGGACGTCCAAAAAATCTAAGCTCCATGTTGTTTGTGTGAACTTCCCTCAGTGCAAATGGGCTGTTCGGGCTGTGCGTTTACCAGGCGTTGAGATGTTCCAGATACATAGGTGTGTATTACTTTTTTTGAACATATAGGGCACCTTTTTTCTAATTCTGTGTGTTTGGGTCGTTAATTCCCATGGGGGTCACATGGTCTTTATCCAATGACATGCTACTGTTTTCTACTTCCTTATTCTACGTTTTGTAATTACTCCTACTCTGATGGTCATTATATTCCTTATCTTACACCCTCTATTTAACGCAGTTTTTAATGTCTTAAAAAATGTCCTGCTAGTCATTCAGTAAACCAGTCTAAAGTCTTTACAAATAGATATCATAGGGAAAACAAGTGTAATGTGCTTAATGTCTACACATCATAATGTCTATACTGGATAATGTCTATACTGCATGAAGCAGTCTGCATAATGTCTATACTTTGCGGAATTTTTATACTGCATAATGTCTATGTGCAAAATGTCTACCGGAAGCAGTGTAACACCCTAATCTGTCCAGGTCTGCAGCCCCTTTCAGATTAAAGTATTAACTTGGTAATCGTAAAAATTTAAAACATTTCAAACACTTTTATTTATCACAATAATATTTTTCATAATATAAACAGTACAGAGTTTTCAATATTGCGGAAGCTTAACAATCATAATCACAAACATAATTTATTTATGTTCTTTAATTCAAAACCATCACATCCATTCCGACAATCTCACCTCCGTCTGCCTCCAGGATCACGTCACTTCATTAACCTGCGTGTAGCAAATAAAACATACTACACGCTCAGCGTTGAAGCTGAGTAAGCATATCTAATGCATCGAACATCCATATAAACTGAATCTAAATTCATAATCAAATCATTTGATATCATGCACATAATGTTCAGTTCAGATAATCAATAATTATTAAAAATTATTCATCATGCATTATTCAACATTTATATTCACATTCAATGTTCATCAGTCATTCATAATAATTGCAATATTCAATTCAATATTCATCATTCAATATTTACTCATATTCAATATTCAAT